TATGTGTAGTAGTAGTATGTGTAGTATGTGTAGTATGTGTAGTAGGTGTAGTATGTGTAGTAGGTGTAGTATGTGTAGTAGGTGTAGTATGTGTAGTAGTAGTATGTGTAGTAGTAGTAGTAGTAGTAGTAGTAGTAAGTAGTAGTAGTAGTAGTATTACTTCTGTTCGTCGTTGTTGTTGGGGGAGCAGCAGACCGGCAGTGCCATAAACAGAAGCAGTAGGGAGTAAGCTGTAAGGACCCAGTAGTACGCAGCAGGTAGTCATAGAAGTAGTGCGATCAGAAGCACCCGTAGTATTGGTAGTAGCTACAGTTATTACTGCTGTGTCGGTGGCGATGCCCACAACGGCTGTTGCTAGCAAGCCCACGTTAGGTCGAGCAGCGATAGTCAAAGCATGTGCAAGGCAGCCCAGAATCATTACTGTGCTGCTGCCCTGCATGATTATTCTGATGTGGAACTTCAATCCGCGTAACACAGGAGCTGGCAGAGAATCCTGCAGCAGCTGTGGGAGCCTCCGTCCGCGTCACCGGCGAGGTGAAGGTATCTCCACAAGATGGCTTCATATTAAGAATTTTTCTTATGAGCCCTGGGTCCTAGAGCCTGAACCCCAAGTCTGAATTCCTAGACCCTAAATTCCCAGCCAAGCCTCTTGAGCCTCTTCCCACCCATATCAAAGTTACTCCGAAGACCGAACACCATGTGAGCGTAAATGCGAGGAAGTGCCAAGAAATCACGAAGCAAACCCCTAATCCCTATATAAGTCTAATAATTAAGCCCCTCAGCCCCTAGTTACGTTGCTTCTCCCAGGAATTCCAGCAGATTGACGCAAGCCGGCAGCCGATGCTGCTCATGCAGGACACTGGTTGCATAGGCAATCTCAAGGTCTGAAGTTCATAGGATTCGACGGCTTTGCTCACTGCGCTCAAAAGAAAAGCAAAATATAGTCGAAGGCAGTTCCGCTTGTTGGAATATGTTTGAGTTTACAGCTGCCTGAACATAGAGTAGATGATAAAAAACAGTGCGGCAACTTCTGCAAATTAGCGCGTAAATCTACACGCCGGACTACAGCATTCCAATCTTGTCAATGGCTTCTATTAAACTTTACCTTTTTGTACTATACTATGCTAGACTATACTAGACTATACTAGACGGTATTAGACTGTACTATACTATACTCTAGACTATACTGTTCTATACTAGACTAGACTAGACTACACCAGACTATACTAGACTATACTGGACTGTACTAGACGATACTAGACTCGACGATACTATACTTACAGCACTTTGTTATACTCGAGTTATAGCTATAGCTATAGTGTAGTGTCTTATGTTACATGGCATTGTTCATCCTAACGTCCAGCCGACGATGATGCAGTGGCCTTCGCAGGTTTTGACGGCCCGATCTAAGTCACAGGGCTCAGTGTTTGCGGTTCAGGCGAGGGCCAAGTAGACGAGACCTCAAGTGCTCAACCGCCAGCCTGAAATCAAAGCACGAAATCTGAAATCAAATGCCCCCCAGGATCGGGGTGCCACTCTGCTGGTGGATGGGACCGCTGCCGTGCGCGCAGCGGGCACGGAAATCCTACCAGGCAGAGTTCTTGTTTTCGGCTTGAGTTGCTTCCCTAAACCCCCATACCCTTAAGCCCTAAACTCTAAACCTGCTCTAAACCCTACGGCATCTTCGATTAAGGGTGCTGTGAGGATGCTTCAGAGTACATTGCAGGAGCCTTTACTATTCCAAGCAGCTTTACATTCGTTCAGCTGTGCTCATCGTTTGGTGTTTACTCTTATGGGAGTGTAAAGTTAGAAGGCTTAGGGAAGGTTCCCTCAAACCACAACCCCTGAATCACAAATCCCAAGCCATCGAAAAAACCCGAAACCCTAAACCCTAAGCCCTAATCCCTAAGCCCTAAACCCTAAACCCTAAACCCTAATCTTATGTATCCAGCCTCTACATCCTTTCACCCCAAGTAAGCCTACGACCTGCAGACAGTGAACCGTAACACCGAAATCCCCGGCACTGAACCCCGGAACCCCAAACCCCGAACACCCCACTCCCAACGACCTAAATCCTAGGACACCCGAGCCTTGAACCCCAATCCCTGAACTCTCAGCCCTACCCCCCTGAGGATCAGAATAGCCCTTAAAAGCCTTCTATGGTCTGGTCTTGGGGCCCAAAAGCCTTAGGGCCTTAGAGTACACCAGATGTGTAAACATCTTATGGCTGAAATTTCAATCCTTATCATAGGCAAGCCAACTACAGGAACCCTTACACATCTTCCTCCAAGCAGACATCACCCCACCGCCAGGCCGTTCTCTCCAAGCCGTTGGGGAGCTGGAAAGGCGAGGCGATTTCCTTGTGCTGCGCCACGGCTGGTGGTCCTGTGGTTCTTCAGGGTTTAGGGTTTCAGGGTTTAGGGCTTTAGGGTTTAGGGGTTTGGGGCCTTGGAGGTTTAGGGGTTTAGGGCCTTGGGGGTTTAGGGGTTCAGGGGTTTAGGGTCTTGGGTTCTTAAGGGTTTCGGGTTTCGGCAAGAACTATGGCCTTCTCAGCTTTTCGGGCTCAGGTGGTTACTGTATACGGCTTTAAAAAAGGCCTTCAGGATGTACAGATGCTTGCGGGGTTTAGGATGCTGTATCATCGAGTAACTTAGCTTACATCTAAATTTTCGCTTATACATTGACATAAACTTAAAGGTTACCCCCATAGTTGCCCCGGGAATCCCACCATGATCCCCAGCAGTATATCGTATGCTTTAGTTTCTTTCGGACACCGGACAAGTAGCGATATATAACATTGAGTTTGTAGGGCGATTCGTGCAATCGTACATGCCGCAAACTCCCTGAACCCTAAACCCCGCAAAGGAGAGCACGCATCCTGAGGGTCGTGGACATGGATCTGCAGCTGCGTGGCCAGTGCGTTGAGTGTCACTCTGTTCGTGATTGCGATTCTGTTTGGGTTCCAGCCATAGACATATATATATATATATATCCCACACTTCAACTTGTCCGATGTCGTCATGAGGGTTGCATAGGGGCTTACATGATTGCCTATACTATTTTTTGGGGGTTCCTTATGATACATATATAGAACCACGAGGCCCCTACATCAGGGAAACCCGAAGTCTTCGGTTCAGAGTATTTGGATTTGCCTCAGGCTTTCTTCGTCTTGTTTTTCTTCCGGTCAAGCTTCGGGCTTATTTGGGGTTTTGGCCGAAGGTTGGGAATCTGACACCATCCTGGGACAAACCCCCCGAGATACCAAGGTTCCGGAGACAGGTTGAGTTTCTTGGAACAGCTAAGGCTGTTCCCTGGCATGGGGCCCGCCATTACCGTTAGTCTGGCCTTAACCCTAAACCTCTAAACCGGGGTTTGTTGGAGCTCCGTTTTTCTGGCAGTCCTGCAGCTTGCAGATGTGGTTGTTGATGTCGTCGTTGTCGTGGGTTTAGTGTTTATAGGAGATTGGGTTTAACCAAGGGCTCCTATGTATATAATTCCTTTTTGGAAAGTATACTATACCTCCTTACCAAAAAAAACCATAACAAACCCCAAAAGGAATAGGGCTTGTGGAACTGGAAGCAGCAACGATTTCGACCATGAAGCCCAACTCGCAGAACTAAGACTCTACGAGCGCTGCCTCGCAGTCCGCCGGCAGTTCGAATCCAAGCAGCGTGGCTAATATAGAGGCCTGAATAATTAAAATAGGGGTTTAAAGGGTCCATTAAAGGGTTCTATAAGGGCTACTATAAGGGTTTAGGGTTTAGGTGCCTTAATAATTAGAATAGGGATTTGGGGCCAATTATATTATGATTATAATAAGGAGCCCTAAGGAATAATTTAGGTAATTATTTAGGCTTCTATATTGGTGCAGTGGGCCTTGGGAAACAGTGACCATTAATGCGGATGTCGGAATAAGCATAGCAACAGAAATGCTGTCCCTCATAGTCCCTATAAATCCCTATGAAATAATATAGCCCCACACCCCGTGGTGCATTCTGGGGTTCACTTAGTCTTTGGTCCGACTCGGATTGCTTAGGTTCGGGCTCTAGTTCTTGCTTGCTCTAAATTTTCACGATGGTAGCGGCATGGTCCTTGGCCTGTAGCACATCTACACGAAGCCAGCTGTCGTGTAGTCGTGTATGCTGTACATCGGCTGGTAGAGAAAGACTCAAGATGAGCAGCTGCGGCTTAGACATTCTGACTCTCTGTGTGCTTAGTTGTTTAGATGGGCCTTGAGAGTTACATAGGATAGGCTCTGGGATCATATTACAATATACATACTATTACAGCAAGCACATTCAAAGGGTATACCTCTCTATCTCATGATGCTTGTAGGCCAAGTTCGTAGAAACACGTTGTCTGGTTCTTCGTGCTACTGTTTCAGAATGGGCCCTGCAGAACATGGTAGGTTCAGCCTCCTGTCCACGGCGACAGCTTCGCCAGGGGTTCGACTTTGCATAGTTTAGGCCCCCAAACCGTTTGATTCGAGAATTATCGACATCAGCCAATCCCATACTCCGTAACTGAAGCCCGCAGCCACCGCCCCTAAAACCTGTACATACACCCTAAATATGCTTACCGTCCCTAACCCTATACCCTGAACCGCAGGTATCTCTGAAGTGAAACCGTCAGCCCCACCAGGACGCCAAGGATCAGACAAGCTTGCCTCCGAACTATAGACTCTTAGACTTTTGTGTCCGAGGGCAGACAGACAGGGCGTAGAGGGCTTCGGGTAGAGAGTTTTAGAGAGAAGCCAGGATACCAGGCATCAGCTTTGGTGTGCCCCTAACCCTACACGGCCCTACGGCACCCCTTCAAAAGCCTAAAGCCAGATCAGTCCCTCATTCTGCGACTCCTATGCTCCTATCCCGACAACTTGGGGAGACTGTCCAGAGACCCAGAGTTCAGGGCCCTAAACCCTAAACCCTAAACCCTAAACCCTAAACCCTAAGTATCTCTTTCTGTTCGGTCGACAAGGTTTAGGGTTTTGGGCCTGGGATCGAAGAGCTTCTTTGAGTGGTTTTGTAGCGAAGAGGCTCCAATTCAAGAACCTGCAGCCACTTGAGGCAAGGAGGGATTGGATCTCCAGTTTAGTCTTTCACGGGCTACGCTGGTAGAGGCCTTAATGAATAAAAGATATCATATTGTTTGGGGGCTATGTTATCGTATGTAACTGTATGTGGTATAGCTGTGCTTAGTATTCAGAGCTCGAAATCTGTTGCCAAACCCTTTTGCACTAAAACCTCACGCCACCCAATCCTCCCCTCCTGCATCAAAGCCTCGAGACCCCACTACCTTAAGTAAGATCAGAGGCTATTAGTGAGACCCGAAGCAAGCATTAGTAAGCACAATTACACTATCTGAGGCAAGTAGTAGACAAGATCGGAGGGGAATTGTAAGGTCCGCGGGAGATACAAGGTAAGTAGTCTTCGTAACATCCGAATAGACTGTAACATCCGCGAGAATAGTGAGATCAAAGGAAATAGCAAGATCGCTGGTAAATGCTAATGTCTACAGAAAAAGGTCCTTAGCAAAAATTCAAAGGTAGATCGTAAGATCCGAGGTAAATGGTTCGATCTGCGGTGACTAGTAAGATCCAAGGAAAAGTCCGAGGTAAATGGTTCGATCTGCGGTGACTAGTAAGATCCAAGGAAAATAGCACATCTAAGGTTCAAGCCAAGTAGCAAGATGACACGCATGGTGAGGTAAGGTAAAGACTAAGATCCTTACTATGAGGCCACCCGCAAAGGGGACCCCTGCCACTCCGAAACCCCTGCCATCCTGAAACCTTGGAGAGGAGCTGCAAAGATGGCTCACGGCGATGGCAGCAAAGACGGATCGATCAAAGAGAAAACGGAGTCGAGTGGGTTTCGGGGTTAGGGTACAACGGGTTGCAGCATGGCGGATCAGTCTGGTAATTTTGGTTTACAGGCTGGGTTCAAGCTCCTGGGCTGGGCCATGACCCTCAGGGCCCATAAACGCAAAGGGTATATACTTTTGCCCCAGAGTACCTATATACGGACTATCTACTTTGAGGCCAATGTAGTATGTGAGTACATGGACCAGGGCAAGGCTTAATAGGAGCTGGGATCCGGGTCGAGGTCCAGACATCAGGGTCCAGCGTCTTTCCAAAGCCTCCTACCCACACGCTCCTGCTCCTGAGTCCCACGTAAACCGGACATGGGTTCGAAATCTTTACCCCCCAATTACGTTTTGCGGTTCCAGGCATGAGTATCCGCATGATGATTCACATCATTGCTATGCTTCTGCATCAGGGGTGCTCTAAGTTGTTCGCCGCGGTATGGGCATCGTCACTCTCAAGATCACTGACAGTACTATAAGTAGGGCCGTCAACGCCATCATTTCCAACTTCACCAGCACCGTCATCACTGTTGTCCTCCTCCTCCTCCTCCTTATCGTCGTCGTCATTATCATCCTCATCATCATCGTCAAGGTCATCGTCATCATCCTCGTCGTCATACTCATCTCCTTCACCATGCTTGCTACTATGGCTTTTTGTAGTCGCATGCATGTGGCTATTAAATCCCGACGTCATCCCAAATTCTCAGCCGTGGTGCTCATTTGCGCTTTGAGCCAGGGTCCCGTCTTGGATTATTTCGGCCTGCCTGCCGGCACAAGGCTCACCAAATGGAGGGGATTGAGGTCGTTAGGTTTTGAGATTTAGAGCTCTAAACCCTAACCCCTAAACTTTAAACCCTAAACCCTAATCCCTAAACGTTTTAACCCTAAACCCCAAACCCGAATCCCTAAACTTTTAAACCCTAGACCGGGCAAGTTTAGGGCTTTGGGTCGACTTCCAGCTTAGGGAGGCTTCGGCTTTCGAGCTCCGCCTTGCCTTCTACTTGGAGAGAAATTAGGGTTTCTGAGAACTCGACACATGCCAAAAACCCGGAATCATGACTAGTTATAAGGGTTTAGGGTGTAGGGTTAGTTATTTCAAGATCCTTGTGGCCCCCCCCCCCGTCTACCCTCCCCTTCAGAAAAGCAGAAACACATGATACGCAACATACGCAGGCAGATATACCATACCCAGCAACCATCCGCAACCACTATCTCCGCTCATCGGGAAGTCTTGCACGTCAGCAAACCCGGCACGCATGAACTCCTCAACCCTAAAATCAAAGTACAAAACTCTAAAACTCTAGGAGGGACCTCCAGCAGGAAACCTTTCAACAGAGTTCGTCGGCCGCGAGTTCAGGACACGAAGGACGAAACCATTCAATTTAGGGTTTAGTTTAGGTGCCTCGGGCACCCCAAGGAATGGCGAAAACGGCGCGAGAGTCCTGAACAAGAGGTTAGAGGTCGGTAAAAAGGTAGGTTTTGATTCGATTTGATAGCAACATGCCGTTCTCGTACTTGTTTGTGGTCCGTGTGACCCAGGCCCAGCCCAGGCCCAGCCCAGGCCCAACCCAGACCCTACGCCCTTCACCCACTAAATCGTGACAATACGAAACGAAGCCGGGGCCAGAACGTTCAAAGCAACCTCAACGTACCAATCGTGCTAGAAGCAATTGCCTTCAGGCTTTGGGGATGAGAAGTGCAACAACATCGGAAAGGCTTCTTCATAAGCTTGAGAAGTACATAGTGCAGAAGGGAGACCGCCACGTGTTCTCCATACATACGCATCAAGCCAGAGCGCCGAGTGGTTTCAATAGGTGGGCCTGAGCTCTTCAACCCATACTGATTCTAGCGGCTTATCGGGGACGGTTCCTCAGTGGTCTACTTCATGACAAAGCCCTCGAACAAAAAGAACATCAATGCTTTCCAACCCAAGCCCAAGCACTAAAACCATCCAGGGGTCCCCGCTGCACCTGGCGTGGTATCCTCCGCCTCTGGGCAGAGAAGAAGAGGGGCGAGGAAAGGTTTCATTTGGGTTTATAGGGCTTCAGTGGAGTAAGGCTTCGGCTCAGGGGTAAGAGGGCGTGGACCGCAAAAGGTGTGTGAGAACATGACGCTTCCGGTCTGGCTTCAGCATGCAGGTCCGAGGCTGTTGGCATCAGGGGGCTGTGAGGTGGCAACAACACTCTGTCCAGATGAGCACCTACTCCACCAAGGTGTCGACACACTGCCGAAACCCTTAGCCATAAGCCAGTTTTGAGAACATTAGCCTAAACTCTGAACCATAAGTGTTTCTCGTAATTATCGAGTTGCTGGAACAAGCGGAAGGTATGCATGGAGCCGATAAGTGCCCGAGACCTAGAAAGCTGCTTGAAACAGGGCTCAGCAGTGGCTCAAGTGTCGCGACTGCAGATGTCTGTTGCGATGCCACCGCGACTACGACGAAAGGCAAGTTTTACGGCCAGAGCATTCGCCTCGGGCAAAAGTTCACTCGGTTGATCGTGTACTATGACTCTAAGCTTGATGCCAACTTGGCCGCATGCTTCAGAGTCGTTTGTGTGGCTGCACAGGTTGCTGCAAGACCAGTTAACCAAACTATCGGTCAAAGCTGATTTGGATCGGATCAAATCCACATGGGTAGTTCTCTAAATTAGGGTGCCTTTTAGGGCCTTTTGTTTGTAAGGGTGCCGTACTATATTGGGGACCTAAAAAGGGATCCTAATTTAGAGAACTACCCACATCAAGATCCGAGCTTCTTGAAGCAGAGAGGCTTCTCAAGGATGCCTCAATTGCCACCCAGAAAGAAGGGACCCTTGAAGGCCAAGAAGCCCAGCCTAAGTTTGGGGGTTTAGGGTTCAGGGTTTAGGGCTTAGTTCCAAAGCCCGACAACCCCTAAACCCGACAGAAGCAAACACCCAAAAGCCACCCAAAAACTGAGTTCCCCAATACCCAACCTTTAAGCTATTTGGGTTCCTATAAGTTAGTAGCAATCTGAGAGTTTAAATTTGTTTTTTCCCTGGCTTCTTGGGGAAGTAAGAAAAACGGCCCTAACGACACCTTGAGCCCACCCTGAAAACCCAAAACCCTTAAACCCTGAGCCCTGACAGCCTTAAGACCCCAAAGCCTGGAGACAAGGAGCGAAGAAGAAAGCCCAACTCTCTAATGTAGGGGCCTTAATTACCTAGTGTTTCTTATTTATAATTATAGTGTAATGGGCCCAAAACCCTATTCTGATTATTATGGCCCCCTATATTATACACTCTAAGCCCTATAAACCCACAAACGCTTCGCTACTTTCTGAGCTCTGAACCCCTATACTCGGGAGTTTAGGGTTTAGGGCTTAGGGTTTATATGGGGTTTCGGGTTTAGGGTGCAATAGAGTAGGAGTAGAAGCCAGAAAGTTGGGAGCGTGACCATCCTCATGCCCTTAAGATAAAGGATTAGGGATCCTAAACCCATGTTCCAACTTTTTGGGACTCGCTGTAGAACCCTAAACCCTAAACCCTAAGCCCTAAACGCTCTGAAGCTGGCACCTTGAGCCCTGAACAAACCCTTCCAGACGAACCCAAGTGATGCGAAACTCAGGACTGCCGTGGCGTGCGAGGCTCAGCATCGGCTGAGGCCAAAAGATTCCAAAAAGGAAGGTTAAGGTTTCGGGGTTTTAAGGAAGACTGGGTTTAGAGTTTGCGGGGTTTAGGGGTTAGGAAGACTAATAATAGGGTTTAAAGTTTAGGGGTTTAAGACTCATGGTTGCTTTAA